ATCTCCAATTCCTAAAGGAAATCTGCATCCAAAGACCTTCAAAATCCCAAAAAATCTTTTGCTGCCACTGGAAATCTGCATCCAAAGATCTAAAAAATCAATAAGCCAGAGAGTAAAAATAACAATATATAACAATGAAAAAATCACCAAAAAAACTATCCCTCCAAAAAAAAAATACATTATTCTGGGGGCCTTTATTAATCAGTGCAGGAAAAAAAAAGTCATTATTGTGGGGATCTTTATTAATCAAAGGTTAACATTATTGAAGAAAGGATGACTATACAATACAGTATAGATCGAGTGTGGATTCGTTGAGGGGTAATACTTCACAACCGCCCACGATCAGATTTCAGTCAGAGTAGATGGCTGGGATCACCAAATCAGACGGTGTCTCCTTCTAAATCAGCCAAGTGACCATCCTTCAAGAAAAAAATGCTTGCCACTTATGTATGTGTGTGCGTGTTGCTTGTTGCATGCTTGCAAAGTGATTAGATGGAGCGCTGTTGTTCAGAAAAGAGTACTGGCGTGAGAATGGGAACCAATCTGAAGCTGTTGACGTAACATACCTCCAGATTAGATGAGCTTCAAGTGCTTCCTGGATCAAACCGGAGCCACTTCATGCTGTGAAACGGAACTCCGGTCGGACTCTTCTTCACTGGGCCCCCACGCGCCTGGCACCAGGACATTTATTCAGATTCCACAGCTCGAACGGAGTGGAAGACTCGAGCACCTCGGACGGAGTGGTGTGGTGCTCGTCGGCCAAGCGATTGGGGCGGCCCGCGGACGGCACGCGGGAAACAGGTGTTGCCAAGCGATTGGTGGTTGGAATTCTAAGGGATTTTCAGAGCCTACTCGATGAATAAGATCGCATGTTTAGTCTATATAATATGAAATTCTGGCAGATTTTGGGATGCTTTTGATTCCATTGAGTTCTGTGGGGGGGGTTTGATTCTGTGGTCTCTCAATGTCGTCGAAACTTGCCCTGGAGTTGAGACACAGGGCACGTCTCAGGTTGAGCTGTTTGATATCCACGGATGGGGTTTTGCATTTTCCCGACCCTTTTTCCGTGCTTGTGAAAGGTCTATATATAATATATCTATCTAAGTCTATAAGAGTCTAACGATACGACAAAATGTTCTTTGACCAGAACGGATTTGTCCAAAACCATCCGCGTGTCTCCTCAGAACAGTATAGAACCACCATGCTTGGGTTCGGACCGCATATGCAGCCGTGGAGCTTGCTGCGACATCTCGGTCTATCCGACCGTCTGGGGTGAACCGCCCAGCCCAAGGCCCTGGATGTGGTGAACCGATACAAGTCGCATCCGGCCATCCTGCTGTGGGGCTTCGGAAATGAGAAGAACTTCTATGCCCCTCGGCTTGGGGACGCCGTCGTGGCCGAGGCAGTCGTGGCCGAAGCAGATGGCCAATTCGGGTTCGTGGCCGAAGAGAGGAAGTTCCAAATTGTGAGGGAGGAAGCATGATGATTGTGTGGATTCTTCAGCCCTCAAGCAAGAACCCCATAATAATATATATCAGATACCTATAGTAGTATATACCTACTTGTTTCGATCTGTTTCGATCCCTCCTGGCACACCCACCTTCAGCTGAACTCTGCAGCAGGCCGATACCGAGCAGAAGCGAACGGATCACTGGTCCTACGTGAGCGAAGTGACCGATGAGATCCACCAGGTCCGACAAACCGGGAAGCACCCAATAGCGACGACGGAGGAGAGGACTCGGCTGGAGGGAGTGATTGTTTTTCTTCTTTGTTTCTACTAGCAATGGCCTCCAACTTATATAGCAATGGCCTCCAACCTAATAGCAATGGCCTCCAACCTAATAGCCATGGCCTACAACCTAATAGCAATGGCCTCCAACCTAATAGCAATGGCCTCCAACCTAATAGCCATGGCCTACAACCTAATAGCAATGGCCTCCAACCTAATAGCAATGGCCTCCCACCTAATAGCGATGGCCTCCAACCTAAGAGCAATGGCCTCCAACCTAATAGCAGTGGCCTCCATCCAAATAGCGATGGCCTCCAACCTAATAGCGATGGCCTCCAATCTAATAGCCATGGCCTCCAACCTAGTAGCAAAGGCCTCCAACCTAATAGCCATGGCCTCCAACCTAATGGCC